TTCACTAGTAGAAAATTAAAAATTCATCATGTTGAATAGTACTATTCAAATGCTATTTGACATATAGGGTCTGTTCCTTGAAAATGACCTTACGGGACATAGTAAATCATAAGATCAAAACTTGATTTTCAAGGAACAAACCCCATATGTCATTCAACTTATTTTGCAGGCATCAATGTCTGTGAAGTTTTGTGATAGAGTCAAGTGGCATTTGAAAAGTACCATTCAACATGTCGAATTTTTTATATTTACTAGTGTTTGTTAGACAGATTTTAATAAAAATTAAATTACAATTTTGACTATTATACAAATGCTACTAATTGTTGATTTTTTAGATCAAAAACTATCCGATTTACATAAAGATAGTAAAGGGCTAGAAATAATTTTTAGTTCCTAATTATTTTTTTAACTTTGGTTCTTTAGATATTAATATTTTGATCTCATTTCGATTCATATCAATTATGTGAATCCTTTCGGAAAATAGTTTTTTAAATTTTTGATAATGATTTCTTATTTGGTAGTGAAATTCTAAATTTAATTTGTCATATTTACTAGTGGTTTAATTTTCTTTTTTGTAATCTTTGGGCTTTAATGATTTTTAAAATTTTATTGATAGCGAATAGGCCTTAACAATTATTAGATCTAAAATAGTATAAGAATAAATAAATTGGCTTTGGGCTATATAAACAAGTCGCTTTACTAGGCCATTTCAATTCTGTAAATGCTTTTATAAAACCTTCATTGTAAATACTGTACAAAACTACATACATTTGTATATACATACTAGGATGGAGTTAGAAATTCCTAAGGACAATATCAAATTAATGGCTAGTTATACTAATATTGAAGAATTACAGAGAAATCGGTTCAACTGACCAATATGCTGATAAGGATGAAAGAACTTGATTAAATTGTGCTAGTTATTTGCAAGCCGAAGATTCAAAGTTAATTTCCGGAACCAAGAGTTGGCTCAGAATGTGTTTTTTTGGCATACCGAAATACTTTCAGTAAATTCATAGTGCCGAAAATACAAAATCGTAAGACCTAAAACATTAATTAACAAATTTTAAAATGAGATACTACTTATCGAAAACCCAAGTAATTACCTAGAAATTTTTACAAGAGCTTTATTAAGTGTTGAAGATAAAGTTACGCTTTAGAATTTTCTATTAACATATAAAATTTGGAAAAATTTAATTAAACTGAAAAAAATTAGACCTTAACAATACAAGTCCAAAGTTTAATAAAATTCTTGCAAAAAATTAGGTGTAAATGTACTTTTGCGAAGAGTTTTCAGCTAAAAAAAAATCGAAAAAAAAGTGCAATATCAAGGCGCATCTTTTAGAAATTTGAGCATTCTTTATAATTAAATAAAGTAAGATCACATTTTAATTGATTATTTTAATTTCATCGATTGAAATCTAATCATAGTAAATTTAATTGAGTTACCACCTTAGTACATATGTACGTATGGTGCGGGAATTTAAAAAATTTCATTCAAAGAAATAATAGAATAATATTTACTTAATTGCAACTATACACACCTGAGATAAGCAGGTTACTGACATGTTTAGCGTATCTCAAATGCGTTAAATAACTTTATTCTATATGAAATAATTTCTGCACGTGCCCTATACTTTTTTATGGATTGAATCTGAATTTATTCAATTCGGATTATATTCGAATTTAACCGAATGTGTAAAATAGAATTCGAATTTAATCCGAATGGCTCAAAAAATTTAGGATCGAAGCTCTAGTAATTGGATAATAATGGGTAGGTGGGCTAATGGATATTTGGATGCTTTTACAGGTAGAAAGGTAGAATAAATAGATATTTTCAGGGTAAGTTTTATGGATACTTTTACTTATCAAACTATTGTTTGCTTTCAGTATTCTTAACTTTTATTAATTTTATCTTTTGAGCATGCACATATATGCAATGTAAATTCTGGTTATTTCTTACTATAGAAATAACCAGAAATTTACTTTTTATTCCCACCATTGCAAATATGTGCTTTCATTATTAGTTTTTATATTTAAAATTTTAATGGATATTCGGAATGCATCCATCAAATGTTATGGTCCAATATACTGCTTTAATTTATATCCAGATATCTGCAATTACCTGTAGATGCTACAAACATTGACAGATACTTATAGATATCTGTGAATACCCGCAGATACCTGCTGGATTATCCTTTTTAAACTAATGAATAAAGGTTATTACCCATAAGCCATTTATGGTATCCGGATATGTGCTAACTAAACGGATATCCAAATAAGCAAATAACAGTTCCGACCTTTACTATAGTATACTAAGGTACAATACAATTTGCTCATCAAAAAACTTCCAAAAAAATCTGGGTATATTATATAGTAGCAGGTTAGTATTGCAAAAAAAAATTTTAAGCCTATATACATCTGCAAATTTATAGTAGCACAATCTTTCGAAAATTCTTGTAAAACTACAAAATCTTTTAAAAGATTTTACATATGCAATATATTTCAAAATATTTTGCAATGTATTTCAAAATATTTCAGGTTTCAAAATATTTCGAAAGGACCCCGGACATCTAATATAGAGGTCATACTTGTTTTTTTTCAGCAAAAACCCCTAAAATTTGAAAAGCAAAAAAACAGTTTTTGCTAATTAACTTGATATCTAGTAGGCCAATTTGAACAAACTTTTTTTTAAAATAAAGCTCTTAGTAAGGCGCATCTAACAAAAAAAGTTCATTCAATTCTGATTACTAGATCAAAAGTTATTTAAATAAATATATTTTGTTATTTTTAGCAAATTGGATCAAGATTGGCCAAAATCCAGTTATGGCCTATATGAGGTCCTATTTCGAATATTTTTTCGAAAGTGAATTCAAAATATTTTTTGAGAGAACTAGCTGGATCAGTAGATATATAACCTGGGTTATACCAAGAATGCATTGAACTATATTTTCGAAATACTTTGAATATATTAAAATTAATCTACAAATCTGTATTTAAAATCAAATTAGATCTTTTGTTTATAAATTAGATCTTTTATTTATATTGATTTTTTATTTCATTTTGTTTTTTTATTTTTGGTTTGTTTTTTTTTTGATTTTGCTTTTTTTTGCTTTCATTTTGTTTTTTTTTTATTTATTTTTAATTTTTTCACACTTTACAAAAATACCAGCCCTTTGCAAGAAAACCAACAACTTTTAGCACTTTGCAAGAACACCAATTTGACTTTCATGCCAACTCAGACTTTAACTGATTTTCTTAGCAATTTCTAAATTCCAAAATAGCTTTTTAGAAAAATGAGTACAAGTTTTTGCAAGTTTTTGCAAGTTCTTGCAAGATTTTGCTTCATTTATTTTTCATTTTATGTTTTTTGTTTTTGTTTTTTTGGTTTATTTTTAAAATTTTTTTATTAATTTATTTTATTTTGACACTTTGTGAAAACAGAACCCTTACTTTCTGGAACTTTGCAAAAAACCAATACAGGCTTTTTTAGCACTTTACGACTTTTTTGGTATTTTGCAAAAACATTAACCCAGCTTTCGCAATTTCTGAATTTGCAAAAATGTGAACTTTTACTTAGAAAAATAAAGATTTGGGGCTTTGTTTATTTTTTTTTATTAGTTTGCTTGCATTTTTTTTGTTTTTTTTGTTTTTTTTTTACTTATTTTTTTTTATTTTTATTTTATTTTATTTATTCCTGACTTCTTTGATACTTGTGACTTTTTTAGCACTTTACAAGAACTAGCTTTAACTTTTTTGGCACTTTGCAAAAACATACTATATTTCTCTGGCAATTTGCAAAAACACCAACACTTTTGAGAAATGTTTTTTTATTTTTTTTATTTCTTTACTATTTTTAGGAAATATTTAGAAAAAGAGAACGAAATGAAGATATAGCCAAAACAAAAAAAATAGCCAAAGTGAAGATGAAAAAAAACAAAGAAGCGAAAATAATAACTAACTGCAAGGTGAACGAAAATAAGTATATAGGGCTAGATTTTTGTATATATTAGATATAACAAAATGTAAAAGCAGTTAAAATAATATATAATATAAAATAATACTATAAGGGTGGTGACATATATTACGTAATATAATTTTACTATACTCTCTACCACCACCTCCCTACATAAGAGAAATTTGATTGGTATTATGAACTTCTATATTTAATATAAGATTTCAGAGACCTCTCCTTTTCTAAAATATTACATAATATCTGTCACTACTCTAAAAAATGTATAATAATTAAAATATAATATCTATATAATAAGATAAAATGGTGTAGATAAACTGTATCGGTATGTGAGATAAACAATATGAAATAAACACTAAAGAGACAAACATTATGAGACAAAACTATAATTTGATTGGCAGTTCAAAATTTTGCGTAAAAAAAACAAATGCCGTATTAGTTTACACAAGCTTTTGCATATCAGTTTCTGTGCCAAGTTCTTTATTGTTTGTTTTTTTTTTTTTATGTTTTCCAACTGGGTACTACCCCAGAGGTAGCGTGTGGCCGCTTTTTATTAACTCATTATTTCAAAGATCATTTTACATTTTACATATACAGGAGATTCCTAATCTATACCTCCCTCCAATCGACCGTTTTTTTCAGCTGACTTCAGCAGGTCAACCACGTCTGGTGCCCATACCATAAGATCATAGGTAGCTTAAAGGGACTACACATCCCATCGGTATGCTATCTAGATCAGCTATTTTTTATTTACCTCGAGAGCCACTTTTCCATTTTTAGTCGGTGTAGTATTAGGTTCCTGATTTCTTACTTTCTAATTCGGTCATTCATCCTGTTCCTTTTTTATAATGGATAGTCCTTATGTTTATGACGTTTTTTGTTAGATTTTTTCCTTTTTCTGGATGCTGTATGACCCCGTGGCTATGTCACACAACTCATTATTGCTGTAGTACCATGTCCAGAAACAGTAGAGAGATTCAACACCTCATTATAGATCTTTTGCTATTCGTGGTCCTAACACAGTTTCTGTCATCTACTAGACTTGAACTGACAACCTTGCGAATAGAACCCGAAGCGCTAACCACTGCGCTATCTGACCCAGAGAGTTATTGATTGTTTTAATATACCACAAATATGATATTTTATTCATTTTACATAAATTTCAATTTTTTATATATTTTTCATAAATAAATAAAACCAAAAAACATATATTAAAATATAAATTTTCAAAATCAATAAAAATTAACTAAAACTTTTTATTTTTGTAATAATACAATCATTTTTGCTAAAATATTATATTATATATACAAATAAATAAAATACTATAAATATTTTGTTTTATATCTATAAAGATTTTATATTTGCTACTTATTCTTATTATAGATTAAATAAAATTTAAGTAATAACTATTTAAAGTTAATAGTATTTTAACTTTATATTGTAATACATACTTATATATATTATATATAAAATAATACTTAATTCTGGAGCAATATGATGAGTTATATGCTAGTATAATAAAATATATAATATTGATTAGAAATAATCCACATGTGATCTGCAGAAATTGGTTAGTAAATTTGGGGATAAGTTTAATTATACTTGTCGAAGCATATTTGCATCTCGTACTGGTTACTCTAATTTCATGCCAAAATGTCCAAACGACCGCGTCAAGTTGCTATTTCTAAAAGGCTTTCTTGTTAAAGAGCTTCATTACAGACCTTATTCACGTTATTGGTGGGAACTTTATGCAGATACTAATGACACATTTCATTTTCCTATTCGACTTGTCTTTAAAATAAAAGTCAATCTTAATAACTATTTTTTTTATCTCACTATTCAAAGAGGAAACGAGGCTAATTTTTTTTTACCTGAATATTGCTGCGAATCAGATGGTTATTATACTATATCCTCTAATCCGACTAATGCAATTTCTACTATATACAAGTATATATTTGGTAATCATACCCCGTTATTTTGGTTCTATTATTCTTGGATGGAATCAAAAAGAAATTGTACAACAATTAATAACTGATGTTTTATTATTTCCGGTTTCATGTATGGTGGATAAATACAAGTTATTCGTATATGGCGATGGTAATTCCTCACATAATAACTGGTGTAATGCTAGGGCTGAGTACAAAGCTTTGTTAATTCATATGTACTTGAAAAAACAAGCAATATTTGTATCAACTATAACAAACAATACATATATAGTTGAAATATATCAAGAATCATAGTGTCAAAAAAAGTTTATAGGAACTTCACCAAATGATGTATGGGCGCAATCAGGGTTTATCAAAGAATTCATCTTTTTGGCTTGCACGATGAAATTATTCAAAATTTTATTTTAGCTAATCACGTTCCAACATGTAATTCTTATGAATGGCAAGAACATGCGATCATGAAATCGATATTTAATTATCACTTAAAACATAAAACCATTGCTTCAATCCAATAGTATAACTTTTTTCAAAATTGGACTGCAAGTAAAAATGGAATAATCGAATTATATCAAGAATTAAAAAAAATTTATCCTTCTGATTATCACTTCGACGAATGAGAACTAAGAGCATGGAAGGCTAGTGAAAGTCCATGTTATATGCATCTGGCTGCACAAATATTACGCCTTGGACACAAGATATATCAAAGGTAACATATTACGGGTATTTCACAGATTAGTATAGTATAGGTAAGCAAATCCGTACAGTATAGGCCAAATTTTTAAATCTATACTATACTGATCCAGTGTAATATATATTAGCATTAGGAGGACCCCGAATAATCTATATAAGGTCATAGTTGAAAAATAGCTAATGGAGGGCCATTTTTCAAAAAAGGTTATATTTGAAAAGTAGGTATTGGAGAAAAAGATTATATTTGAAACCCGCTAAATGGCAAAATAGGTATATTTTAAAAAATGCTAATGGGGGTAATTTTTATAAATGTTATATTTAAAATGTGCTAATGAAAAATCTGGGCTATAATAGTAATCCGGCAGGTAAAAAGAAGAGAGGAGTAAAGAAAGAAAGGAGTAAAAGGGAGAGAGGGCTAAAAAAGAGAAAGAGGGGTAAAAGGGAGAGGTGATAAAAATTGGTCAAAATGGCTTTTTTTTTTTTAAGTTTTTTGGCACAATTTGTGGTATATATATTTATAATCCTTGGCAGCTTATGGATCAAATGGGCTTAAGAGATTTTGAACTTTTAAAAAAATTTTTTTTTTTAGAGAATGTTATGTTTTTTTTTTTTTTTTTTTTTT